ACTGTTTGTTTGTCCTCGTTTACCACCAGACCCATTCGCGTTGCTTCCTTATCCAACTTGGAAAAGGCAGAACAGACTTTGTGGTTTTGTTACCGATGATATCGATGTCATCGGCATAAGCCAGCAATTGCACGCTCCTGTAGTAATTTGTTCCTGAGCGGTTCAGTTCTGGAGCTCTTACTATCTTCTCCAACATCAGATTAAAGAAGTCACATGAAAGAGAGTCGCCCTGTCTGAAGCCCCGTTTGGTAGCGAACGGCTCGGAGAGATTGGCTATCTTCGCTTGGCTAGTTTCACTAAAAGTTTAGTGATAGTGAGTTTTTTCTAACTATCACTAAAGCTTTAGTGATAATGCAATTTGTTTTTCACTATCACTAAACCTTCAGACTCTTCGATTTGGAGGTCGGTTGAAAAAATTCCCGCCCATGCGCCACAATCCATTTTTACGGACGGTACGAAGCGTTCAGTAAAAATAGGATCCCTCCACTCCTTTCTTGATGGAAAAATCGTGCCGCAGTTTTTCTTGAAGAGAAGCGAAAGACAAATGTAGCAGGGATGAAAAAGTAGGTACAATTGTACCTTTTTCCGACGTTTGATGACTTAAAGGTACATTAGGTACAGCCACTAGATTTTAGGTACAATCATCTTTTGATCAGATGCATTATTAGTTTTTTTTTTTCTTTTTCCTTTACCGTGCTAATATATTTACTTGTAGGCACGGGAGAAGCTTCGCTTTCATTTTGAAGAATAAACAATTCTAAAGAAAAGTGGTCAAAAGGAAGAATTTAAAAAAGTCATATTAAGTATTATCTTAAACATCTTACACTATTTTTAGAGCGGCTACTACGAAAAATTAACACTTTACTTAGCTATCCTCAAATTTTTAATTTTTTTCTATTAATCTTAACGCTTATTTTCACTAAGTCAAATTCAATGGCATTTGCGGTCAAAAAAGTGAAAACAAATTGTCAAATGAGCCTAAAAAATGGCTTTTTGATTATGTAGATCATAATAGGCCTTCAGGCGTGTACATGCGCTGTTAAAGTGGCTATTTGTAAGTTTTTGGCCCTTAATATCATCGGTAAAAGTCGGGATAAAGGAAAGAAAGTTGTGTCAAAATATGTCAAAAAATTTTGTTGTCAAAATATGACATAATGAAAACCAGCCTTTATTCGCCCATACAGTTAGGGATGCTCTTAAAAACATCGATGTTCCCGCAACAAACATCGATGTCAAAAAACATCGGTCATAAAAACGATACATCGATGTTTTAATATCGCATCTACTACACGAAATATTTAAAATGTAGCCTGAAATATTTTTTAAACTCGAAAGAATTAGATTCACATATCCGCTGCAAACCATAACTTTATACAAAACTTTGAAAAATTCAACACATTTTTATCTTAATTTTGAACTTTTTTATCTGTATTTTTAGAAAAAGCCGTTAAAAATCGCCTTGATTTTTAACCTTTTATTTGAAAAAAACGCGAAAGCCGCCAAAAAAATCATTAAAAATCAAAGCGATTTTTAGCCGCTTAAAACTTGCACCTGTTTTATTATTATGATGTATCTTAAATATGTAAATCTTATTTATTTAAATATGAATAAACATTTTGAAATTAGTTCAGAAAACAAGCTTTGAAAATCTAGCCCCCAAAACCCTGCTTCTATCCTGAATGATGGTTGCTTGCACCAGCTTCGCTTGCCACTGGTCGTTCGGCACAATACGAACGGAGTAAGTGAACGATGTCGATGCTTTTCACTTTCCTAGTCGATGTAGCGACGATGTATCCTCCAGCAAAACATCGATATTAACATTTTTATTAGAGCACCAGAAGCCAAATGAACATTTTTTTTTAATTTTTGTCTGTCTGTCTGTATGTTTGCACGCGCATACTCGAAAACGAATGCATGGATTTGAATGCAGTTTTCACCGGTGTATTGCTAGAGGTTTAATTTAAAATATAGAAAGAAAAAAATTTGAGAGTTGCCACCGGTTTGAAAATTGCAGTTTAAGTAAATTGATAAGAAAAAGTGAATATTGAAGTGAACTGCAATATGGGCGTCACAAGAAAGAGGCTTAAGAAGGCTTACAGCCAAAAATATTTTTTTAGAGTTGCCACCTGTTTGAAAATTTTAATTTAATTTAATTTATAGATAAATTGAATATTTCAATATGGGTATCAAACTGAAGAGGTTTAGGAAATTTTACTGCCGAAAATATTTTTAGGGAGGGTTGTCACCTGTTTCAAAAAATTTATTGTATTAAATGGATAAATTAAATGAAATCTATATTTATATTTATAATAAAATCTTAACAGGCCGATGTCTGTACCTTATAGCTATTAAAGAAAAATTAATATGGTGGGTTTTTAGTCGAGTTACAGAAGCCAAATAAACAGCTTTTAGAACTTTTGACTCTCTGCCTGTCTGTATATTTGTACGCGCATCACTCGAAAACATGGAATTGAATTCAGTTTCCACCGATGTATCGCTAGAGATCTAGCTTACAATATAGAAGAAAAAATTAGAGAGTTGCCGCCTGTGTTTAAAATTTCAGTTTAGGTCAATTGATACGGTAAAATAAATACTACAATATGGCTGCCAAAAGAAAGAGGTTAACAAAGGCCTATTAGCTGAAAATATTTTTGTGGAAGGTTGCCACCTACTTGAAAACTTCAATTTAATTTAATTGATAGCATAAATTAAATACTGCATTATTGGCATCAAACTAAAGAGGCTTGGAAATTTTAATGCCGGAAATGTTTTCAGGGGATTTGCCAACTGGTTGAAAAATTGTATTCATTTAAATTTGTAAAATAAATGAAATATTACAATACGGACATTGAACTAAATAGGATAAGGAAGCTTACACTGAACCAAAAATCCATCTTTGGATCAAAGAAAAACTCTCCTTACTTTAAGGTCGAAAATTCTTCCGAATGAGTAAAAAATTCTCCCGAATGGGTAATTTTTCTGTAGAATGTGTAAAAACGTACATGAAAATATGGAACCGAGGATGTAATCTTTAATTTTGAAGAAATGTTGGGCATGAAAAGGGATAAAACTTCTTTA